TCGGTCCTGATTATCTTCATCTGAAAGAGTGGATTATCCTTGAACTAAAAGTTTTCCGATGACAAATTCAAAACCCTTTAAGCTGACTAGCGATTTCGCTGAATTCCAGTTGTTCGATACCGGTTCAAATCTTAACGAACAGGCTGGCTGTATGCGAATTTTTTATGGTTTTTTTCATTTTTAACATCTATGCAAACCAGTTTCCTTTAAAACGTCCTTCGCGAAAGCAGTTCATCCCCAAGTCATAAAACTCTCGAGTGCTTTGCCGTAATTTGAACAGTCGTATTCTTAATCAGCCCACCAGCGGCTGAGCGGTAAAATCGGTGAACAGGTAGTTCCGACCTGTGTTCGAATCCAGTCGAACAAGCTGGCTGCGTGTGCGTTTTGTTGTTTTCCCCATGCATAACGTGTATACGAGCCAGCTTACCCTAGGAAGTCCTCCACGAAGGCCTCCCTCCCCTTAGGTAGATAGCCCTAGTATTCTTTGTCATAATAAACTAAACCAACCCCATTCTTAATCAGAGTGCTTCTGAATTTCTAATGGATTCTGATATTCTCATCTCTTGCTTGCCTCGCAGATTATCTTCAGTTCTGGCGGTATATATCCATCATTTTTTAATTGCCTTTTTGAGGCGCGTTGATGTCTGTGGCCGGTAACATATTTTCCAGAATATTTCTGTGGACATTTTGATCAGCTCTATCTGCTTCAAACTATCTCTGACACCAGTGATGGTAGGTCTGGTAGATGGATTTCTTTGCCACTCTTTCCTAAACTGAAATTGCCTGCGCTCCAACTGCACTTTTTATCTAAAATCCCCTGAATTTTAATCTTTTTTGTATCGACTAGAACGAAAATAATCTTTCAGGCGAAGTTTTTTTTGGAATTTCTAACATAATTTACCAAAATTTGGCGATTTTTTAAAAATTTAGAGTGCAATTAGGCGATTTTTTAATGTTCTTAGCCATTGTACGGTTGGTAGAACGATGATTTTTAAATGAACGAATTTAATTATTTCCTGTCAGCTCATAATTTTAAGTCAAAATGAAATCGGATTTCGAAATCAAGGAAGAAATTTAAAAGAGGGTCATCTTACGCCATCAGATAAATAGAAAGACCTTGGTGTGGTGTGTTTAATTACGGCAAAGCACACTAGGGCTATCTGCCAAAGGGGAGGGATGCCTTTCGTGGAGGACTTTCTAAGGGAAACTGGCTCGTATACACGTTACACATGGGGAAAACCACGAAAACACCCATGCAGCCAGCCCGTTCGCGGGACTCGAACCTCGGACCGAACTACCAGTGTTCAGCGACTTTACCGCTCGGCCGCTGGTGGGCTAGAAAGACCTTGAGGGGGGATAGCTTGTTTTGGTTTGGTGTATTACTAAAAGCGCACTAGGGCTATCTGCGTAAGGGGAGGGATGCCTTCGTGGAGGTCTTTTTAAGAGAAACTGCCTCGTATACCCGTTACACATGGGGAAAACCGCAAAAACACCAATGCAGCCAGCCGGTCGGAATTACCAGCATTTAACGATTTTACCGTTCGTGGGCGAGGGGGGGGAGATAGTACCATGCGCCCTTCGTTGCAACGGTGAGTTTTCAGAGACAGCAGTTTTTCTTCTGGCATATTTTAAATTTGTGTAATAAACTTAAACGTGTATAATAAATCTAAAAGAGATTTAAACTTTTGAAATTACACGTTTTTAATTAAATGCATGAAAGGAGTAAAAAAAAAATTTTTTTTAACTGTTTAGACTATTATGAATAAAATTCTAGGTCAAATGCGATTGAAAGTGAAACTTTAATTACACGGTTTTATCTAAATGCACAAAAAGTTCTTTTTCAGCTATCGTTATTGCCTTGCTCATCATTCTTTCATACGCGATTGTAAAAGTAAAATCCTGATTTGTAAATGTATTGGGACACAAATAGAATTCCAAGGAATAATAGAAGTGATAGTATAGAAATGACAAATAAAAGAATGATTACATTCAATTAGCTTACATTTGAGCGAATAAGAATAATGACATTTATATTTGACATCAGAATAAGAATGATCATATTCACTTAGCTTGCATTTCCCTTTGGACAATTTTAACTTATGGTGTATTTAATTACGGCAAAGCACACGAGGGCTATCTGCCTAAGGGGAGGGATGCCTTCGTGGAGGACTTTCTAAGGAAAACTGGCTCGTATATACGTTACACATGGGGAAAACCACGAAAACGCCCATGCAGCCAGCCCGTTCGCGGGATAATTTTAACTTATGATCTGCCATTACTAGCAGCTCCACAATTTTGGTTTTAGTCGCATATGAAGAAGAATATTATATTTAAAACGTGGCAAAAAAAAAAAAAAAAAATCAATTTCGTCTTGGTATAGATTTTTAAATAAAACTCTGTTGATTTTCTGGGTGATCAGACATATGTCTTGTTCTTTAGAAGGGGGGAGGAATTGCATTTTAGTTTTTATATTGCCGTGCTTTTCTTGAAGTTTAATGTTATTAATTTTTTTTCTCTTGCTTATGTATTTATTTAGTACTTGCCTTAAATGCCTTTAATGAAAATCATGTACTTTAAATGGTTTTTAATGAGTTTTATTTATTATTTCTTCTTAAAATTTCTTAGTAGATCTTTTCTAACTAAACATTATTTTTAGAATCTGAAGATCCTTGCGAGTTTCCGAAAAAAAATGTCGAACGTTAAGCAACAAATTTGTTACTAATTAAGAAATTCTGGAACATTTAGGGAGCAAAATGTGCGGGGAAACACAATCGCTAGAGAATGCGGTAGAACGAAAAAAGAATTATCGTGCTAAGAAAGAGACAAATCATTTAAGTGGAAATGTCTTTTCGATGTTAACAAAAGTAACCTAACAATAAATAGTGTTTTCTTTTCCATCAGGATTTAATTCATTTTTCAATGTAAGTTGGCCGAAAAGATTGTCTTTAAATGTCACAGAAGGAACTTTTGTATGAGTTATAGAATTTCTGAAACTTTCCATAACCTGAGATTTGACTCTAAAAATTTCGTAGTCGAGTATTTATATTAAGATTTGGTGTATGGGGGATGTATACCAGAAATGTAACATTAACATAAATGGTTCTTGCGTATTAGCACAACCACTTTAGTAGAAAGCGCTAGATTTTCAGACTGCACCCAACTCTGGCAACTATGTCAGTGGGGAATGCATACCAGAAATGAAGCACTAACCTAAATGGTTACTTAGATTATCATAACCAGGGCCGAATTTATGTATAAGGCTGCACAAGCTATACCTTAGGGACCCCACGTTCTTGGGGACCCCCAAAAAATTTAAATATAGTATAAATAGTATTAAAATATATTATAACATACTTATAAAGGGCCCCATATCTCAAATAGCTTAGGGCCTTATCAGTTCTAAAGCACGGTAGTAGATGTCACCAAATTTCAGAATGTGTCAAAGTCTGGTAACTATGCGCTTAACAGTTCTTCAGTCTTAGCAAACAAAATCACTATTTTCTAATGCTTTCTTTTTGTTATATTTCAGCTTCTGACGGTTTTTCCTAATAAATGATGATAATTTATGTCTTAAACTCAATTTTAAAGCTTGTAGGATTTGACTACAGTGAAAGAAACTGCGGTAAAATTTCTGTAGGAATGTAGTATTTTGCCGCAAAATGGCTAAAAGGAACATTTTGGATCTCTGTTATTAAATCGTCGCTACGAAATTTCTATCAGAACAAAAGAAAAATTCGTTCATAAGTTGGTTTATGAATTAATTATATGCCTAATTAAAGGCCTAATTAAAATGCAAAATATATATCTCTTCATATAATAAGGAAGTGTCGGTGTGACTTTCGTTCGTGCTGCGCGTAAGCTAATAGACTCAAGGGTACGAAATTTTGAGCATAGGGTGCATCTAGACCAGTGTTTCTTAACCTTTTTGTCACAATGAACCACTTTACAAATTTTAAATATGTCACGGACCCCTCTGTGAAAAAAAAAAATTGCTTAAACATTATTTATTACAAAATATATTCTGTTTTATTATTTAATTATTTCAATATTTTTATTTCAATAATATAAAAAATTTGAAGAAATTGAAATTTTTAATGTGAAGGCTGTTGCTGCTTTTGCTTGATTAACAGATTGAATTGAGGGATGGTTTTCGACAAAGCAACGCGCATATCATGTTCGACATTCAGTCTATTTCGATGTTTTGTTTTTATTGTGACAAGTGTGGAAAATCCCGCTTCGCAAAGATATATTGTAGCAAACGGAATAATGGCTGCCATAACTCGTTTTACAAGCAATGGGTAGGCTTCTCTTAAAGAAGACCAAAACTCTCCAAGAGTTTTTGAATCGAAATCCATTTTTAACAAGGACTCTGTTTCAAATCAATTAGCTCATCTTTGGCAAGGTTCATGCCATCGAGTCAATATCACAAAGAAAAGGATTGCGAATCCACAACTCATCTTTTATATTTATTCCATCCGAATTGAAATATTTTTCAAATGAAACTTGAAGTACTTCCAGGTGTTCACAGATTTCATTTTTCAAGTTATCAATAACAAACTATCTTTCCGAGATCCATTTTCAAAAACACTTCGTCCGACATTTGAAAGTTTGCATGTATCCCATTTTGAATTCTAATTTTCCAAAGTGACATTTTCAATAAAAATGCCTGTATTTTCTCAGTGGCATCCATAATTGTTGTATCAGGCCCGTGAATTGAAAGACATATATCGTTCATGTGGTTAAAAATGTCTGCCAGGTAACCCAATTTACATATAAAACCTTTTTTCTTGAAATATTCCAAGAGTGAGTTATCTTTTTCTTCTAAAAAAAGTAATACTTCTGTCTTCAACATGAAAATTCGTTTCAAAACCTGCCCTCGTGACAGCCAGCGCACTTCCGTGTGATACCTGCGTTCATTTCTTGACACAGTGTTTTAAAAAGACGATGATTAAGAGCTCTAATTCTAATAAAATTCACAATAACTATTGACAATACTTCTTTTAAGCTGGTTGGAAGAGTTTTGTAGCCAGTGCATGTCTATATAAAAAACAATGTGTAACAATAACATTAGAAGCCTCTTTTTTTACCAAATGGGCAAAACCAGATTTATTGCCAAGCATCGCAGGTGCTCCATCCGTACAAAGTGAATGAAGTTTTTGTTTCCAGTCGAAGTCGTGTTTGGAAAAGAAAACATTTAAAATCGCTAAAACATCAACTGCCTTTGTAGTTTGCAAAAGAGACTCACAAAATAAGAATTCTTCTTTGATAGTATCAGCAGACACGTAACGAACAAAAACAAGAAGTTGACTACAATTCGAGATGTCTGTAGTTTCATCCAGTTGCATACTAAAAGGAAATGGCGATGTTTTCAATTCATCGATGATCTGTTTCAAGATATTGCAAGAAATTTCAACTATTCTTGAATGTATCACATCCTTGGACAATGGAATAGCCTCAAGTTTTTTTCTCTGTTCCAGTCCACAAACTAATTCAACCATTTCCAGCGCACACGGCTTAATTAATGTCTCTCCAATAGTATGCGGTTTCTTACTTTTGGCAATACGATATGCAACTCTGAAAGATGCCTCAACCAAAGGTTTTTTGTGAAATACCAAATCCAAGTTTGGTTAATGTTCCAGATTTCGAAAACTGGGCTTTCTTCTTTGTAAAAATTTCTAGATCTTTAGATGCATTTTCAGGATGAAGAGATTTGAGATGCTCTATCAATTTTGCCGGTTTCATACTGGCGTTTGCCAAAACTTTTTCACACAGAAAGCATTGTGGCTTTTCAACACCGTCCGATTCCTTCATGCAGCAGAATCCTTGAAAAAAAAACTTTAATTACAACTTGAAAAAAATACTTTAATTACAACTTATGAAAAAGTAAAACAAATATTTTGTTTTAAAAATTTGCAAGAACTTTTCGGAACTAATTTTAACGTCACTTTATTTCTAAGTGAAGTAAAATTCAAAGGCTACTTTGTGTTTCTAAAAATTTCAAATTTTATATGGTTTGCGAATGTTTTTCCTCGTATCGTGGAGGTCTCTATTATTGGTTAAATGGCAGACAGACGGCTTACAGAGGTTGCCCGTGACAAAAAAAAGTTTTTTTAAATATTGATGCAAACATTTTAAAAATTAGGAGCAGTCGGCGGACCCCCAAAATATGACCCATGGACCCCTACACTGATCTAGACGAGAGCCAGTGCACCTCGAAGCGAGTTTTTCAAAATTCGAATCTGATTTTTTTTTTTAATTTTATCTTTTCGATTTTATCGCATCATTTTCAATAGTTTCATTCTTTTAGAAATGTGGTTTTGGAAACAGTTTTTCATTCAATGTTTTGCATATTGGACTGTTGGCTGTTGAAAATATTAGATAAAAATGCTGCTTTTTACTTCCTTGTACGAAGTAAAAAAGAACTATTGTAATCGCGAAAAGTTTCAGGCAGCATATTTCAATAAAAATATCCATTTTGAGCGCTATCGAATGCAATTTAACGATGTTTTTGCGTGATATCTGTACGTAAGGACAGAATAAAAGACTCGTTTCCTCCAAAAAATTATAAAACTGCTTTAAAATTAATTCTGAAGAGAATTTTTCGTGGCGTCTGTACGAACGTACGTACGTATCTCGCATAACTCAAAAACGAGTAGACTCAGAACGTTGAAATTTTGTATATAGGACTACTATAACATGTAGATGTGTACCTCGTATTTTGGTTGCAATCGGCCGCACCAAACGTATATATATAACCACTCTGTTACCCAGCATAGTGATCTCAGTTTCTTTACTCCTATATGTTTGTAAATTGTACATTTTTTGCTTTAAAAATGATTGAATTATGTTGTTCTTATCTTCCGGTTAAGGTTTTTATGCCTTTAGTAAACCTGTATGCAATATTTTTAGGATTATCAACAATTTTAAAGTTGTTTAAGTGCCGCTAAGCCTAATAATTTTTTTATGGAGGCCATTGCTTGTTTACATTTAAAACAGCAAAAATAGTGGATTTGTTGCCAATCTAGAGAAACTTAGCTTCAAAACAACAAAGATAACGCCTTCATTTATTATTGGAAATTAAATCAGGCTTAATCCTTTCTGGAATTTTTTCGAGGAAATAAATGTTTAAGATTTACTTCGTAATTTTTAATACAGATATTTTGAGTTTTTATGTATTTTTGCCTTCTCACGAACTGAGAACTGAATTAATTGAATGAGAAATACTCAATCGTCTGTGAAAAACTGTTTCTTTTTTGTTTTGTTTACTTAATTTCTTTTATACATCGGTCTAGCTTTGTTATAGTATTTGAATGCATGAGGCAACGATTAGATCGTTCTTCAAATGATATAAATTTTGTGCATTCTGAGTTATAATATGAACGAAATATAATACTGTTAAGTGAACCTAGCGCCAGAGTGTCGCTATGGTAAACAAATAGAGTGAATTTTAAAGAATGTATTTATTCTATTGTGGTTTATGCGCTGTCGGCGAAGTAGATTTAATTCAATCCAATAAGTTTGAATGAAATGCAAGAAAAAATGCGTATAATTTAATATTCCGTACAAGGAAGTCACATGTTGTACACATCAGATTTTTTCTTTTGATTTTTGGACACGCAACGCGCATATCGCAATCTTCTTATTCTGACGCACATGTGTCTCGCGAGGCACCCCCAACAGAAAGAATTTCCTTTCACCTCCCTCCCTCTCTTTATTAGCTAATGGCAAAGAGGTTTGTATATTTTGAAATTATGTCATCCACAAAGCACAATTTTGATTGGTTATTGCTTTCTGATGATAGTTACATTCTTTTAGAAATGTGGTTTTGGCAACAGTTTTTCATTCATTGCTTTCGATACTGAACTGCTGACTGTTTTCTCTTGAAAATATGAGATTTATTGCTTATTTCATCGTAATTTTTTATGTTTTGTTTTAATTATATATAATTTTAATTGTATAAAATGTTTTACATGATTTTTTAGGAAACAAAGGTCTTTATTTCCTTTATACCATTTGAATTCTTAAGCTTTTGCAACGGGAAGTTGACTAATTTATTTATTAGGATAATTAATATTTGTATTAAGGACTAATTTATTTATTAGGATAATTAATATTTGTATTATTGCTCGTTTAATTGTAATATATAATAAATTTAATTTTTTTTATGAAGTTGTTATGCGGAGTAAAATTCTGCGCAGTTTTTAAATTTAACGTTTGGTGTTTCCTTTAGGCATTTTTCCGGTACATTTAAAGCCAGACAAAGGCTGGCTGCGTAGCTGCTAATAATGAAATAAATTTTTTTCAATAAAGCCATAATTCTTTTTCTTCTGCATAAGTGCACATTCTAAATGTTGCAGTACTTAATTAAATAAAATTTTATTATTTTCTAAATTGAAAATTATCAATCAGTCATTTCTGGAAATATGTTCAACCAGTTCTTTTAGATTAAGATTACCATTTAAAGATGTTTTTATACGTTATAATGAAGATGTACAATCTTCACTAAGTGATACTTTTTAAAAAAAGCATTATTAGTAATCAAAATTGTTTGTTAGCAGTGTCTGGTAATGAAGACGGGGGGGGGGGGGCATTTTATTGCAGCATCTTGAAAGAACTTCTTGTATTCCATAAGTAGGATAATTCAGAATTCACTTTGTATTTGATATGAATTTACTTCGCAGTGTATTCTTGCCGAATTCTAATGGAAAGTCGCATAAAATGGCAATGGAAAAAAAAAAAAAAAAAAAACTATAATAGAAATTAAGCTAATAGAAAGAAGTCTGATAATCACAAAATTTTAGAAATTGCTCTAAAATTTCCGAAAATAATGCAGAAATTTGCGCCGCGGTTAATTTTCTGCATCGACGGTGTGTGCACTACACAAAATAAGTACAAGTCTGTGATTTGTTTGGGATTTTTAACTTTTTCCTTGCAAATTTGCCATTGCTGGCGTTATAGATCCAACGAAATCAATACCATTATTGTTTCAATTTCGAAAGTGCATTTTAACATATTCATTCAGCGAAAAAGATATGGAATTGTTTTGTGTAAGATTACTTCTTCGCGTATCTTACGTGAATTATTGCAGTCGCAGTTTCGAAACTCAGAATATATAACGTTGCGACGAATTGTAGATCAGTAACAAGTTGATGAAAAGCACTAACCTAGATTCATTTTGAAGGGGTGTATAATAATAGTATTCTTTATTCGTGGTATTATGAATTCGACGGTACGGTTATATGCTGTTACTGGTCAAATATCCGTTGTGTTTTGTTAAACGGAAGCTTGATTGCTCCATTATAAGGTTGTAGATACGATAAATGTGTACATCCATTCTTGTCTGGGCTTGTCATAATAAGAGCTGAGCGTTCCAACTACTGATCCTATGGTTTAGCATATTCATTTTAATCTCCATATAAAATATCCATTTCTGAAATAGGACTTTCTTTTCTCTAAACACGAAGTCAGTTGACTATGTATGTTATTTTTCAAAATTGTCGATCTATTAATATGAACGTTCCAGTAAATAAGTGACTAAACTATGCGTTTTAAGAAATTGGAATATATTTTAAGCAAATTTTTATTCCAATAAATATACTTTAACTACTCATTTCTTTAAAGTATGCGTGGGAGTTTTCCATGTGTGGCGTGACTGTTTCCCTAAAAGAATCAACCACGAACACAGCTCTTCTTTCAGCCAGGTAGCCTTCGCATACTTCGCCGTATTCTAGATCCTAATCTGTATCTTTAATGTATTTATAACACTATTTGGCAAATTAAAAATCTTTTGTAGCATATTTGTGTTTTCATTACAGCACAATTTTTGGAAGTATGATACTTATACCTCTAGTAGAACATTACATTGTTTTTGGTGGTACAGTTGTTACGCAAATGATTTAAATGCATCTTTAATGCAAAATGGCCATCCTTTTGGGATATACACTCAAAAAAAAAAAAAAAAAAAAAAAAAAAAAAAGACGCACCGAGAAGATATAAAGCAAATTGGACAAATTGATATGCAAGCAGGTTTCGACGGAAAATGCAAAATTTTACATTTTGGCTGCCAATGAATGAACGGTTGTCGCTACAGCGCATCTGATCTGCGCAACTGGCAGTATATTTAAGTGGAGAAATTACGATTCCAGGTCATAAATTCTTCATGAATTTCATTCCGTGTACTCTGGTAGACAGTATGCCTCGCATACAGGTGCGCGAACGATATCCGCAGATGTCAGAATTTGAGGGAGGTCGTGTAGTTGGGATCAAAGAAAGCCGGTTGGTCTTATCGGCGAATTGCATTTGAGCCACTGTTAGACGATGTTGGCAGGAATGGGTGAACCATGGCCGCACACAGCGTCAGGAAGGATGCGGTAGGCCTAGAGAAACGACAGAACGTGAAGACCGAGCAATCGTCACAGCGGCACTCACAACCCTAGATGCATCATTATCATCGATTGTACGTGCATCTAGTGCTTCAGTGACCGCAAGGGCGATTCAT